TCTTGCATTGAGGGGCATCGGAAGATAGGGTTGGAGGAACGTCGTCATTCGGGATCGTTTTTGGAGTTGTAGGAATGAATACCCAAGGGAAGGCTCGTTGGTTCTGCTTTTTCGTGAGATGTCAGGATTATGGATTCGGACAGACAAGGGATGTGTACATTACCCAGAGAAGAATCGTTGCTCATCATTCCCTCTTATCTTGCGTTTATACGATTGTGACGTGTTGAATGGTTGAATGACTGTTGTAGATGGGGAGTGAGTGCGAAGACCGTCCGTCAATCAGAGCACAGAGAGCACAGGAGGCGAGTAGACAAGGCAGAAATGATTTAAAGGTCATCAATTGTTTTGAGTTTGAACTACCCTAGAGCCCCCACTCCGTGACGATCTCCAAGTTGGTGACTCAGGCGCCAGGTTTACCTTCAAGCAAGCCCTCAAGCACAGCAGTTCGGCACCTATTGATAGACCTGGTAGACGTCCCGATGCGTTAAGGAGCGATGTGTAGCGGACAGGCTTCTTTTGAACCATAGGATAAGGCTCCTTAAGGTCATGAGCCCGTGTACAAGGTGTGCCGGTAGGGGGTAAACTCCTCTATTTGAAGGCATACTTGAAGGTATGTCTGTTGGTGGTGGAAGCAGCTAAAAGTATGGCGATGTGGATGACGATGTCTTTCGTAGATGAGGTGTAGTGCGGCGAGAACACGTGGCCGCAGACACAATTCCATCATTGGCGTGGGCAGAATACCGTCAACGGCATTCATCCAGGGCGATTTAGCCGCGCCGGGAACGCCGCTGTATCATCTCTCCATGCCCCGCCGGCCGAAAGTTTCTCCAAATGAGGCGTCACACTGATGCGCGACGTGGCCGAAAGGGCGGCGCGACGACGGTGTGTAGTCAACCTCGGAAGGCCAGCTGTCCTGTCGCCGACATGCAGGCGAGATCTCGCATGCCGTGATGGCATACGCGGGGAAACTCCCCTCCGTTCGCCAAGCCTGTCCCGATTGGGCGCCACGGGTACCCCTCCATGCAGCAATCTAACTGCAGGGTCCTGTATCTCTCATACGCCGGGCGCAACCGTCAGCCCGGCGCGATGCGAGGTGCCGGAAGTGCATCTTTCGGGCGGGATGATGTGTCCTCTTCGTATCCTTCTCATGTCTTCGTTCAATCGGTGCAGCGCCTTGGTGTGTAACGGGAAGCGGTGCTCAATGGTGGCTATTCTCGCGGTCGGCAGGTTTCCGCCGCGATTGCTCATGGTCTTCGTTCGTGGGTATCTTCATGAAACATTTCGGTTCGTACGGTAAAAAGGTCACTCGGGGATGTCGATCGGAGAAGGGTGCAAATGCATGCGCGTAAAATGAAGTATATTGAAGGCGGCCGGCGAAGCTGATGCAGTAACTGGCAACATCGTGGGGGTATCTTTCTTCCTTTTTTCGAGTTCTGCAACAAAAAATAAAGGCGTCGAAGAAGACATCACGGGGTTTTCAGTTGGTCTTCTGCTTGGGCGGGGACTTGAGCTTGCGGGAGATGGAGAGGACGGTGACGCCGGCGACCATGAGGGCCTCGACGCTGAGGAGACCGATCCAAATGGCGTTGAGTATCTGATCCTCGTAGCCAGTACCAAGGTACATTGACATCTTTTCGTGAAGCATTGGGTATCCGCCGGAGACGAAGAGGAAGGCTTCGAGAACGTAGAAGGTATACCAGTAAGGACTGTAGGGCGCATGAAGACGAGAGGAGATTAGCAGAAGTCCAGAAGAAGGTGCCGTCCAATAGTCTTTATATGAGAACAAAGCGCATGGGGGAGTGTTTTTTGCTTATTTGCGGGTGCCCCATAAGCCGTGGCATGTCATCAAACAAAGTGTCCCTTTTACTAAAATAGGAGACTCGGAATTGCGGAGACGGTGAAACCTTGCGGCATGGAAGATCCATGGCGGGGAGGGAACGGGCTTTTTTGCGGTTGACGCACGGACTTCCCGCTGGCGGCGGGCGTGACAAAAGAGACAAAGAAATGCAATGCAATGCGAGGCGCGGGTTGAAACGGTGGGCGTGGAGGGCAGAGCCAGGTAGGTGTAGGTTAGGTTAGGTAGGGCGGAAAGAAGGGATGGATGGATGGATGGGACGAGTTCAGACAGAGTTCAGACGTCCGGAGAGAAGAGCCGATGTGTAGTGTGTGTTGTGTTGCGGGTGATGGTGCATGGGTTGATGGGAAGGGACATTTGGATGTGATACAGACGAAAAGGCACGAGACACGAGGTTGGTGGTTTCGAAGGGAAGGGAAAGCAGAAAAAGCAAGACAAGACAACCAAAGACAGACTTACCGAGACTCGTCAGTCAAGCGCACCCACTGAATTCTGGTATGGTCAGGCTCGCCGTACTGGGAAACTTGAGCAGCGATGATGAGACCGAGAAGGACAAAGGACCAGAGGAACATCATGCGCCCAAAGAGGGTGACGTGGGTATTAAAGTCCCAGAGGGCGTCGAAGACGTCCGTGACGATGGAGGCCATATTTTTCCTTGCTGGTCTATTTTTTCTCCTAGTGAACTGGTTCCTGGATTCTGGGAGCAAATCGGGCTGCGATGGTGTGGATTTCTGTCAAGGTTGGCGAGTGCGCTGGATGAGCGGTGGCGGGAGAGGAAACAGGATTGGGGCGACGAAGCGCGATGACTGGACAGGCTGGCGAGAAATCTGGAGCCGACGGTCTGGACGGCGCTGGAGGTGCAGTAGAGTGCAGCGCGAGGGTGGAAATTCGTGGTGTTGGATGCGGATACGGCGCAAAGGCGTGTGAGCAAGCGCAGGTGGCGGTGTGACACGGACTGGCCAGCGCTGCGTGTTGGTGCTATTTAGCGTTGTTTGCGTTGGTGTTCTGCGCTCAATCTTCGTGTCTGTCTCCTTGCCTGGGTTGTGTGATGCAACTGGTGCAAGGGCGACGAGGGTGACGAGGGTGATGACAGGCTGAGAGAGAGGAGAGGAAAAAGAGACGAGGGGGAGGGGGAGGTGGAGGGGAGCAAACGAAAGAGGAGGAGGGCTGGGCTGGGGCCAGAAAGACGAACGGATGGGGGCGGGCTGGCGGCTGCGACACACAATGGATGGGGGCCTGCTGATTGAATCCAGCTAAAGGTCCAGCTGATGATGTGACCACTGACCAGACCAGACCAGACGAGATGACGAGGAAAGGGAAGGGTAAGGGTAAAGGGGTAAAGGTGGAAAGTTGGACGGGAAAGTGCAAGTGACCACCGACCAGGTCTGCCGTCAATGCCGCGCTTTGGGATTATGGTTAATGTTGATTACCCAGATTATGCAACACCATGTCCTGGGGCTGCAGATGAAGAACTTCTTAAGAAGGCGTAATAAGCAGTCAATCAATCCGACGAGAAACACACAAAAAAGAAAAAAGTGGCGGCCAGGTTTTATTGTTAAGCGCTGAGACCCGGTCGCGTGTCTTATCGGCGCTCCACGTGTCCTTATCGCCGGCTTCAAATTGGGTGGCGCCGCCCCTGCCGGTTGGCGGCCCTCGCGAACCGGCAAGCTAGAGCCCATTAAGCTGCTGTTTACCCATGAAGGGTCTTTGGATGGGGGCCCGCTGCACTGCGCCGTTGGTCCACTGCACGAGTCCACTGTAAGGCCGGTCCAGGCCTGGTTGCTGGGAAAAAGTGGAAGGATGATGCTGTGATGGACGAGGGGTATTGCAGCAGCCAAATTAGCTTGACTGGCGATGGGGAATTCGGCTGGGTTGGCATCGACATTGTTTGCTGCCCTTTTTTCCGACTGATGGCTTGCTTTCTATGATCATCTAGGTAAGGCATAACATGTACGCAGTAGAAACGGGATATGTCACTGCCAGATCCGGCACCAGCTTTTGTGGAGTGTTCTGTGTGCTTGCTCAGGTCATGCGGGCAACCTCCACCGCAGCCGCTGCGCCGCATGCTTGCCTCGGAGAAACAGGCAATGAAGACCGTTCATCCGCTATGAGACCAGACCCGAGTCGTCTCTACATACTTGGCAGTTCTGCCAGATGCCGCCTCATGCGCCGATGAGATCGTCGCACTGCCCTCTGGCCCAGCAGCAGCAGCTGGGAGTGCCTTACCCTTCACCTGGAAACCGGCCTCCAAGGTGGGGCCGTGACGCCGAGCTGCACACGCCGTAGAATCCGCACCGCCGGGCTGGTGGAGGCCCGGGCTCCGGCCCGCACCGTGCCTGCTGTCAGAAACATTGGATTGCTCGCGCCTTCCTGCATGGCGAGTGCGATCATTCATCTCTCCTTCTTCAACACAACATCGCGACTCGTCTCGTAAAAGTCTGCGCTTTTCCGATCCGATCTCAGCTGTCAGCCTCCCCATCCCAACCGGGCAGGTCGTAGCCATCTAGGCACGATAGGTACGGATACTCCCACCACTCTCACAAACCTTGTCTGTCCAGGCTGCAAAGTCCCCAAACATTTCCTCTCATTTCGCTTCACCAGCCTTGCTCACCCAGTACAGCATCCGATCGTCGGGGCCGGCCCATTCCTCTTTCGTCCATGTCGCAACACTTCTTCAGGCACTGTGCACCAACAACTCAGCTCTCACTATTTTCTGACTGCGCCGCTCACCTGCCTCATCGTCTCGTACAGATCCCCTGCACCACCAACACCGAGTAGCATTTGGCCCCTGCCACTGCATGCACCCAGCCTTGCAGCCGTCCCACGCAGAGCGGGCCACTGCCTGGCCGCACTGTGTGTTGGTTCTCTGTTCCATCATCACAGCCCCCAAACTGCGTTTCAAACCTGATCGCGGGCGCTTAATTATCTCTCGCGCAAGAGGTCCACCCACACGAACGACTCGACTCCATCTAGCCTTGCTGCAGGAACAGGCCGCCGGCATGCTACAAAAGATTCTTAGCCGCTCCTCCGGCGCGGGACGCTGTGCCACCAAAAGAAACGAAGACTGTTGCTGTGCCTTCCTGTCTCATCTGCCAGATGGAAATCCTTCGTTCCCGCCAACGGTCGAGATTGAGGAGCTAGGATCATGGATACAATCGCCGCCGGGCACCGAGCCTTGAGTGGGAACACAGTCAAGAGATACTCGATCCCTCGAAAACCAATCGCGAAGACGGTCGTACCGACTGCCGAGGAGTTGGCCGTCTTTGCCCAGTCGACACACGGCCTGACCATCGACACACACTCGAGACCGCCGACGAGGGAGTACGGAACAGGCGACGAGGAGCAGTTCACTGTCCTTCGCCAAGCATCGCCAAAAGAATCGCCGGCGAGTCCGTCTCGACAGAACAGCGAGACGCTGCCCGAGACGAAATACGATGAGCCGAGGACTCGTGCCGTTAGCGTCAGCGATGGAAACGGAGCCGAGAAGGGCAAACTTCACCGCAGTGTAACCTGGAGACCCAAATGGCTGCGACCTCAGTCTGTCGGTACATTTGCCGTCTTCTTCCTCCTCATGACGGCAGGCCTGGTGTTCATGATGCAGTATAGCAATCAACATGATGGCCTCGTCAAGACTCAGGCGAATTTGGTCTACGTCTGGCGAATCGGGCCCGTTGCAGGTAAGCGTCTCATTACCAGCACCTCAGTACGTTGTTCGGGAAACTAACTTTCGGCAAGCTATCGCCCTTCTTGCCGTTTTATGGGCACGAGTGGAACTCCAGGCTATGCGGTATATGCCGTGGATTGCAATGCGCCAAAACATGCCCCTGGGCAAAGACGGCTACGCGCTCGACTACACAGCGATGTCGGCATTCGTGGCCCTGATTCAGTCTCTGCAGCACAAACACTATCTTGTGTTTCTGGCCACGACGATTGGTTTTATTCTCAAAGCCCAAATCATCATGGCACCCGCGCTGTATGGGCTCACGACGGTTGAGATACCAAGCAACATCACCACGGATGTCCTCGACTCCTTCAACGTGGGCTATCTAGATGACACTGACGACACCACACCTTACTATGCGGCTCGAGCGATGAAGGATTTCGACATGCTGTATCCCTTTGGGGTCAGCAAAACAGCCGCGTACCAGACATTCCGGGAAGTGAACGGTACTGCCAGAGGAACCTCTGAGTCACCAATGACGGCTATTGTGGATGCCTTTTTCTCGGACATGCAGTGCTTGAAGATGCAGAGCCACTCAACATGGAGCACAACCTACAGCGAAGGGAAAGATGGAGATATCGTCACCACCGTTGGTGTGAATCTCACGTTCGAAGGCTGCGATGCTGAGATACCGGTCATCAACTACGAGGTTCCGCAGCCAAGCATCCACAGTGGTCGCTCTTGGGAGGCCTGGGGCACCGTAAATGAGACTCTTTCTCCCAGGCGACCGTGCCGCAACCTGCCCGACCAAACTCCGCAGTTCGTCTTCTGGATGGGTCGCTTCGATAGATCGGCGACCAACTCCTCAAGGATGTACCTCACTGACGGCGCTGCCGTGCTGTGCTCGCCGACTGCGTGGTTATCGAAAGTCGAGGTCGTGGACGACGGTATCATACCAAAGATCACCGTGCTAGAAGACCAGCCAAAGACTATCGTCGCGGCAGACACGTGGAAGCTGCTCTACAAGTCGATCCCAGAAAACATGGGAGGACATTTTGTGCCCGACACATACAAAACGAACACGGTCGGACCCCTCAAAGCCAATCAATTATTCTGGGGCAATGACTACGACTCAGGAGACGCCAGCTTGATCACCACGGACAACTTATACGACTCTGTAAAGAACCTGACGCAGACGCTAGGTCCCTTCTTGGGGCACTATCTTCTTCGAGAACCCGACAATTTCAAGCATAATGGGGCTTTCCTGGAGAGCACTGACAAGTTGATTGTCAACCAATTGGTGTGCGTGGTCATGATCGTACTATCCGCGCTGAGTACTTGCATCGCCTTCTTGGTTGCCATACGCTTCAGGCGTCGCACGGCTGTCTGGCATCGAGACCCCGCAACTATGGTGGGCAATCTCATCTTCTTCCGTGATCATCCAAAATTCGTCGAAGGCGTTGAATCCTCGGCGCTTATCGACATCTCAGCTGTATGGAGACGGTGCAGATTCACTCCGACGGCTCTCAGGCTTTGGATTCGGGCGCCCTTCGTCATCTTCGTCGCCATCCTTGCAGCCGGTCTCATCTACACACTGCGTCTGTCCGAAACATCTAACGGATTCGTCGATGTGAATGAAGACGGCTACTGGCATCTCCTTTGGACTTCGCTACCAGCTACAGTCGCTCTTATCGTTTCTGGATATGTTAGCTCATGCGATCATATTTATCGAAACCTCGCACTCCTTTCATGTCTGTCTTCTCGACCATGCAGCGTGGAGGAGGTCGACTGCTCCTTACTCGACATGCTTGGAGTCCGGGCACTTTACCACTCTTTCCGTCGTCGCATCTGGGCATTGACACTTGCGCAGACCCTGGCTATTATTTGCGGTTTTTTGACAACTCTGCTTGCCGTCCTCTTCACTGTAGAGACGGTGCCAGAGCAGACGAACCTCCAACTGACGCAGCAAACCTGGTTCGGAACTCAACCGGGCGCAGCGGATAACAACAGCGCTCAGTACTCTGTCACCAGGATGGCCTTGGCTGGTCTTATGAGCCGAGCGGAGGGGACCAACTTCAGCTCCTCTCGCAACACCTTTGGCGATCTTGTATTTCCAATTCTTGGCGGTCTGGACGGTATTGAAGATGCGCAGAACAAGACGCTGAAAATGACCTTTCCAGCCGCGCAAACTCAGTCAAACTGCGAGAAGCTGCCCGACGACCAATACTCTTTCATCTTGAAGAACAACATGACAGAAAGCGGGCTGGATTACTATCAGACAACGGTGACTGAGCCCTTTACCTGCAGCAATTCCAAGCAGACAAGCGCCAACATGACAAATGTTTTCAACCTGATGTCCGACGCGGGAATTGTCGGCGATTACTTCGCTGGGATCATGAGGTCCCACGAGAACCTCCGAGAGACAATCGGTGTCTGCAACCTTCGAGCGGAAAGCGGCTTCACGGATGAACAGTACTTTCCCGTCAGGACGCATACGTACTATTGGGGCAAGTACTCGGCGATGATAAAAGGGTTCGAGTTCCTGGAGATCTGGAAATGCAACTACACCGTCGCCAAAGTCGACACCGAGGTGAACTTGATCAACGTAGATGGGGAGTTCATCATCGACGCGGATAACCCGCCAATCACCGACCCTTCTACCATGAGGACCTGGGATCCCCCGATCGATCTTCCTTTGGAGGCGGGACTAAGCCGGGTGGAACTTAACGATACCCTGGCGGACGTGATGAAAAACGAAATACAATCATACGTCAAGCCATGGGCAGGGGATTTGGAGGTGGGAGAGCTTTTAAGGCGCCTGAATCACAAGTACAGCTTTATCCAGGGCCAGCTATTGAACGTCGAGGGCCGTCTGGGGCTTGCTGAAGACTCGACATCGTCTGGCGCGCCAGGAGCCCTCCCGGACATTGACGCCGTCGTCATCGACACAGGTCGACGTCGACTGAAGCAGAGTCCTATGATCACATACATCATCGTCGCGATCCTGTGCTTGGCAGGCGTCGTCAACTTTGCTGCCATTCTCTTCAAATCTCGGGAGAGTGTGTTTAACATGGGCACCAGGGGCTTAGCGCCCGAGGGCTTCAGTAGCATCGAGAGCATGGTCGGTCTCCTGAGGGGATCCAACGCCGCGGACCACCTACCGTCGGGGACGCACATGCTTTTGAAGGAGGAGCTCCACGGGCACATGTCTAATGTAAGTTTTCAGATGGGATGGTTCCAGAAGCGGGATGGAACACGGGTCTTTACGGTTGGCGTCCTCGGGGATGACGGGTTTGAGTTGAAGGGGACGAAGAAGGCTACCGAGAATGAGATTGAGAGGTTGAGGAGGCTTACTTATGATACCTTTGGGAATGATTATATGGGGAACGGACATGGCGCTTAAGGTGTTTGACGGCTGTTCGCTCTCGACTTTTCAACCCATAATATTCTGGAGGGCTACACACAGCATGCACTATTCCAACATTGTTCCACATGTTCCTTTCCACATTATGATGTTTTTTCCTACGGCGAAAGCTTCCGTCTTCTGGCTTCGTCAGGGGGGGCTTGGAATGCAGTGATGGGGTGGCGCAGAATTCCAATTTCCAAATGTGGAAGTGGTACAGTAAGTTGACTCGGTCATTGGTGAATGACCCCTGGCGGGGTTCTTCCCTCGCGAGGGGCTAAAATCGCAGTGAAGGCTCACGGTCAACTCTGCACTCACACATTAGGCTATATCTATTAGGGTTGTTTGGTACTTTTCCATATATGTACCCTGCTGTATGTTGTACCTCGGCTGATTAGACTCGGCCAATAAACCTTGAATTCATTAGCTAAGGCTGTGGCAGAGCTCCCCTTTGGGGGTGTTAAGAATGCACTGCAGTGTGCAAGAAACTTTCGAGAGAAACAAGCAACAGGACGAAAGTGCAAAACGGTAGTTGGCAGTGAAACATCCACAGCAAGTTTGAAAGGCTGCGGAGGCTGACTGATGATACCTTTAGGAATTATTATATGGGCAACGGACAAGGTTCTTAAATCGTTCGGTCCTGATTCGGTTTATCAAGGTTGCTTCAGACATCAATTCAAGGTTCTTAACAAGCATAACGTTGCTTTTCATTTCTCGGATGTTCATTTCCAAGGCGGGGGGAGGCGATCGGCAGCTTCACGGAAGTTGTGAACAGTGAGCGGACTTGATGCCGGAAAGTTTCTGGCACTATTTGTTGATTGTTGAACACCACTGTTATCCCCTCGAGGGGAGGCAAGATTGCAGTGCAGTAGGAGGCATGACTGGGATGCCAGAGTCGGTCAAGTTCTTTGCTTTTCGCAATGTATTCGTCGATTTCGACCAATGGGGGGATGGAGTTGCAGCGGAGATTACAGGGGCCCAGGCAACGTCATTGGCTGGGTGGACACCTGAAATGTCTCCTTGGGAGGGCATGGAATTGCTGGGAACGGACTTCGTACCCGAGGTTTTCCATTGATGTGAGATCTCCATAATTCGGACCTGGCGGAGTTGATTTGATTTGCGATCATGACAGACCTTCCGTTGAGAGGAGTTAAAAATGCAGTGCACATGCAAGTTACAAGCTCCCACGCCGATGATTCGACAAGAACGAGTACGGCGAAATTCCAATGCACTCGCGGCGAGTGCTATGTGTAGACGCTACGGAAGTCGTTTAGAGCAGTCGCACGTTGCAAACATTAATTGGAAAACATGGTCTGTCTGTGCAGGTATCTGGTCTTGTTTATTTACTTGTGATTTCTTGGTGTTGTTATCCCGTATTTTCATCTTTTCAAGAAGGTCGGAGCACACAACTCCATAGGAGTGAACTGACGTTCGTTGGCTGACATCTCCTTCTAAGCCTCCTCGGGAGGGGTTAAAATTGCAGTGTAGCCCACACTCATTGCTTTTCTTTTTGTCTCACTAGATTAAGACACGTACTTTTAGGGTTAGTGCATTGATGCAGGATTACCTGCATGGATCGGGCACACATACAACTCAACTCCCCTTCTGAGGGTGGAAAGGAACGGTCCAAATCCGCTTCGTGCAGTGATAGCTGACTCTGATCGGATGGAACCCTACCACAACTCTGCGCAGGCTCTTCATAGTGGAACCAAATTCACACTCAGTAGTTATAGAGGGTAACATTTATGATGTATGTAGTAAATGCGGATGGCCGTGGTGGTATGACGACTTGATGAGGGATTCTAAGTGTCAAGTTGCAACGTAATTTGTTACGGGCAGAGCTTTTCTCGGGCAATGTAAGAAGAAAGTAGCAGTGCAGGTTTAAGATGGATAGATTAGATGTGATGTTCCTTGTTGGTTGAGAGCCTTCATCTCTCTTTTGTGGGCTTGAGGGTTAATTTGGGCATTCATGGATGCAAAGAATAACAATCTGTTCTAGCCGACCGTAAGTGTTGTCTTCTGGAAAGGTTGTTGTTGCTATTAAGGACGACTTCTTCTGTACCTTGATGAGTGCAACAGAAGCTTGGGAGGAACCAGTCGAAATGTAATGGATTAGTTGACCATCCTGGCAAGGCCTCTCTCGGGAGAGGTTAAAATGCAGTGTATTCGTAAGGGTATCATTTGGGAGTGAAGGGTGTGGATGGAATAGGAGGCTAGGGTTCCTTACGTTCCTTAGTCAATGGACTATCGTGTTATGCAGCGTGGCAGCATGGATGCAAGGCACGCCAGCCACATATCGGAAATAATCTGATGGGATGAACACAAGCGTAAGCAATGACATGTTGCTTGCGCCCGGAGGCATTCATAGAAAATGGATAAGACGGGCATGGTGTTTGAGGTGTTGTTTGTTCTCACTACTAATGTACCGTGGGCTTCTGTCAGGCTGCGTCAAGTCTGAAAGCACTGGAATCTATTTCCAAGAATTGTCTCCGTTCGGCTTTCATAGCTTAAATCGCGGTGGACGCTTGTGTGTCATCACTGCGTCAAGCGGGATTGGAAACACTTTCAAATGCAAAAGCTTAAAATCCGACACTGTGAAGGCTTTCTTGCTAGACCTGCAACTGCTATCCTTCAAAGCCTACCTAGTGGGTTTGGTAGCGCCCCTTCAGTCAAACTGTTTCCTCGGGGGATATTAAAATTGCAGTGTAGGCCTTGTTCTACAATCACACATGCAGCATACGTTAAGGTTACTTGAAGCCCCCCTCCCCTGCCCCCCGCTCTCGCTGCTAGCCCTGCAAGCCTAAAGCCTGACGGAGTGATTGGAAGAAGGCTGAGACCCCGTCCACAGTCACTTGCGCTATTGATACAGCGTGACGTACAGGAGTGAGCCTTGCTATATTTGTGAATCTTATTTAAGAGACGGTAACTTTATGATGTGGTGCCCTGGAATCATTTTTGTGATAAGTTATTGTTGGTGATTCTCATGTGTTGTATGTCGTCTTTCTATCGTCTGCTTTGTATGCCTTTTCAGCCTTGAATTAACCTTCACCTATTTTCATCACCGCTCTGCTGTGCAGAATACCAAAGCCTTATGTGCTTCTGGTCTGCATGGTGCTTTGCATTGGAGTACATCGTAAACGTCTCTTCGCAATCGTACTCGTCGGCCCCGGGGCAAGGATATAATTCCCACGTTTTGTCACAGATCTTGATGCGGAAATAATCCATTTCCAATGGCAGTTCTCGCGGCCATATCGACTTCTGTCGCCACCGTACCGTAGAAATACGGTTCTGAGCTGGTTATATTTAGGGGCTGAAGATACCGCGTCGCTTGGGAAGGGCCCGGTGAGTCCAGTATTAGGTCCCGCGGTATATAAATATGTGTCCATGCACAAAGGAACTCAGGTGAAGTATCTCTGTGTTGGAACTAAAGGTAAACATCGTTGTTACCTGTTCTCCACCTTACCGCGAGGAGGTCTCTCGCGACTGCACCTATTGATGCCTCCCTTCCCCACTGTTCCGACGCATATTCTCTCGCGCGGAACAGCATCGATGCCATGAAGTCTGCCGGGACCAGAAGGGACTTGAATGTCAAGCGTAGGCCCTAAAGAATCGTACAGCTAGGTAATCGGTGGAATCAGATCTCCCCAGACTTGGCTGCCCCTTACGGTAGGGGATGTCCATACTCTACGACTCGTCTTCCACTCTTGCTCTGTCAACGACTATCAAGTTGAGATCACCAGGGGCCGGGGACTTTTTGTCTTCGTCTCCGCCTTCGATTGAATAGTGGCAAGGGTCGAGTTTGCTTTTCCCGACAAGGTCCAAGTCCATCTGCCTTGTTGCTTCAGACACAGCATGCCGTTGAAGTGACTTCGCTGAATGACCTGTCGAGGGTTTCCAGCAAGATCGATCATCATTAATATAATGGGCACAGGGCTCTAGGTAGACGAGCTTTAGAAACCCATGGGCAACGTTGTTAGACATCGACTCCGAAAATCATTCCTAGAATCTTCTCGCATATTCAAAAATTGCCAGGGAAATTGGTATGCGTGCCCGCTGTGCTCGAGAATGGATTCCAACGATGCAGTGAGGCGATTCTCTCTAGCCTCAAGGCAGAACCTTCCTGAGGTTCGTTGAGACTGCAGCGGGTCATGCCAACTCTCTTCGCTTTCCACAGCAAACACTGGCGCTGGTCGCAAAGTGCTGGGTAGCGCTCTCCATCGCCACAAAAGTGTATCTATCGAAGGATGAAGAGGAGAATGTCTACAGTGGGACACACGCTTTACGCAGGCACGGCGCCCAAAGCTGTGGCAGGAGTGCAAGACAACTTGACTGCTGCGGGGTGGCTTGACCTGATCCGAAGCTACTTCTCAAATGTGAGTCTCAGAAAATGAAGCGTCAGAAAGTGTATTGAATCAATATGACCGGGATGAGATGACCCCGATCTGCGTTTTATAAGGCCAAGGCGCTTCGCATGGATAGTGGGACTAACGGCCCGTTCCACCGTTATCTTTCCGCTTACTGCAGCTGTCGCACATCTGTTTCTGCCACCCGGGGCGTCGCCCGTTATCGGAAATCAACCCCCATCGCCATCTTTGGCTTGGGTGGAAGTCTTGATTAGTTCGGACTTTGGGGACCCGTACAGCTTTTACGAACGAAGTCAACGCAAGCCGTCGAGTGGCATTCCTGGATCCCCCAGTGGGAGATTCTTTGCCGTATAGTTACTGCAAGAGCAGTGAAGACGAAGGTGCCATTTGAGCTCCGGAGCAGACGCAAATGTTATACCGCATTTACTTCCTCCTCTGCGAAAGAAGATCAAACACCAAAGCTAATGTCTATCAGGGGCCCGGGTCTCTGCGTCGGCCCGCTCATCTCGACAGTCTCCTTGCTCGTCATACAGAGACCAGGACATGAATTGTCGAGAGCAAGGATTTTAGCAACGCATCTCTTCTTGTAATCCGGTCAGACTGTTATCTTATTTGACAGGAGCAGCCACCAGAGCC